TGTGTGTGTGTGTGTGTGTGTGTGTGTGTGTGTGTGTGTGTGTGTGTGTGTGTGTGTGGGGAGGGGGGGGTGAGTGGGTGCGTGTGCGCGCGCGCGCAGTAGTAATGATGTGAGATTAAAGTCGGTATTCATAATCAGTTTTTATATTCAAGTCTTAAGTTAAGTTCAGTCTTAAGATGTTACGGATCACATTATTAATTAAAGGGCCACATTAGCATCTTGCATGGTCTTCAATAGGCAGTAACAATAGTTGATTAAGGAGTAGACGTAGAACTTGACCAATCATAGTCGATTAGTCTTCTTGCATTCAAATATGATTGGTCAATTTGTTACTCTTACAACCTCATCCATTATTGCCACTGCCATTGTAGACTATGCATAAGATATTACTTAAGACACTCTTGAAATAAGAATCGATTATGAATATCGTAGAGTAAGAAATTGATCCATCTCAGCCAATTCTTCTCATTCAATTGTGATTGGCCAATTTCTTATTCTCTTACAGCCTAATTCACTGCTATTGTCATTGTAGAAGACATATAATACGTGATCTATAATTGGCAATAGTGGATTAAAGAATAAGAGTAGAAATCAATTAATCATAGTTAAATGTGAAGATAATAATCAACTATGACTGGTCAATTACTGGTCACCTACTCCTTAATCCATTATTGGTATATATATTATTACTGCTCATTGTAGATCACGTATAAAACGGTGTCTACAATGAGATTTCGCTGCATAAAACTTGAACTTTAAGTCTCCAGTCGTGAAAAATTAAATAATCATTTGAATTAATCAATTGATGAATATGGAAAGAATAATTGATTATGATCGATCAATTTCTTATGATTTAAATATTTAAAGCTTAAGTTTTACACCTTAAAAGTTTCATTATAGACGTCGCTTTAGATTTAAGCAATAAGTCAGTATGCGAATCGATCAATCACAATAAATAAAATCGTATAATTGATCGATTAGAAGCATAGAGATAGTATAGATAGATTGAGCATGCCGTGCAAGATATAGCCGGCGCTATACTATATGTCGTCTATTTCTATAACCGGCTCTTACTGATTAATCGAATTTAAAAACAAATAATGTTCGATTCAATCGGATCTGAAATAATTAGCTCATTAATTGAGATGAAAACCATAGGGAAAAAACTTGATTGTCTCTACATCAGATTTTGATTAATCGAAGCAACATCACCTATTACTATTTCAATATTTTTCCATAATGTTGTATGTTCCATAATGTAAAAATTATTCATACCTAATATAGCTTCTGTGCCACCAACGATTCTGTCTGTCTGCACATTACTGATTCCGCACTGAGGTACAAGTAAAGGATCGGATGCAAAACTCGTGCTTTGATGAAACTCTCGATCGCTTTTCAATCCGATGGTACTGCCTATAATAATAATAATAATAATAATAATAATAATCTTCATTAGCCTATTGGTCTAAAGCCAAAGAACTTTTGATTTACATTAAATTTTTTGATTCTTCACATTCTCATATTCTTCCCAATTTCTTTTATATAATTCATCGCCTTCCTTCTTTTCTTCCTCCCTTTGTTCTCTTTGTTCGTGCGTACAGAAAATATGTAGCAAATATTATATATTATATATAGTAAATAATGCATATCAGAACATGGAAAAATTAATTAATTCGTTATCTTGTTCAATTGCAATGTATATTTTGCATATACAAATTTTTAAAACATTAAAATACATTAATACTGTAAATGATAGAGATATGAAAAATGTTTATCTTTCAAGATAAACGCATTTTTTAAATGTTATTTTGACATATTGGATTTATCTACGAAAAAAAATTAAACGAAGAATCTGACTAGAATGGAATTATAAGTTTTCAAAAAGATTGTAAAAGCATACCTTCAGAAAACGGTAATATTAATGCGCACAGCAAACCGATGAATACTAATATAGTCCTCATTATGTGGATCACTTGTCCAAGTATCCTAAAAATACAAATGTATTATATTATTTTATTACTTATTAATAGATATATTTATAAATAAGTTATTTATGAAACCTAAAGTAGAATCCACACGAAATGTGGATCCTATTTTTTAAGATACAAATGTCTTGTATCATACATTTTTTATTAAAGAGATTTTTATTAAAGAGCATAAAAATCTTTTTTTTAATTATAAATAAATAAAGAAAATGAAAAATAAAGAAAGCAGTAAAATTCAATTTTAAAAATTAATAAGCGGAAAGAGGCGAGAAGAAAGAATCCAGATTTATACGATAAAAAGATATATATGTATTCTATTGAAACAAAAATTTGTATTGAACAGTATTTTGATTTAAAATTTGAACAGCTGAAACTTCGTTAAATATTAACAAAATTTAAGTAAAAAATAGAGCTTTTTAAAACTTAAAAGCTTGCTATTTTCGAAAGATCACTGTCTATTGACTTTCTGTGAATTTGATCATTTTTACATGTAGATTTTACATGTAGAAGACTAGTCAAAATGAGAATTATTCTCTTCTTACTTTTCCAGAGCACAGAATATTTATGAAAAATATTTATTATTATTCGTTTTGTGAAATGTTATATAAATATTTCGTACACATTTTATATAAAGCATTATTCAAAATATTATTAAAAAATAAATCAAATATTTAATGTATATAATAATATTTCAGATAAATATAAATATTCTGGGTAAGTATATTTTACTTGTCTTACTAAGTATTTCCATGACATTTACTATAAGATTTATAATAAATATTTCATAATATCTATAATATCTATAATAAACGTTTATGCTTTATGCAATTTAAGATTACAAAAATATTTAAAAATATTTAAAATAAATTTTATAAATATTTATAAA